GATCCCTTTATTAAATCCTAGAGATATACTGAAATACATAAGGGATAAAATTAATATAAAAGTGGTCCGAACATCTGATTACTCTCCGATTACTTTCCCAATTTCGGTATGACGCTGCTTCTTCTTTTTTTCATAAGAACCTAAAAACCCAATCAGTGGAGAAAAAGATATGTTTATTTAGGAAAAAAAAACTTTTGTATCTTATTTAGTAACATAAAAAAAGTTTACGCAAATTAGTTAGCATTTGTAAAATTAGACTCAAAGCATAAGAAGAATCATAGTGTATGAAGTATAATGAATGAAATAGTATTATGAAGAAGTATAATGAATGAAAAATCTGATCTCTAGATTAAAAGTTATAAAAAATTTTTTTGTTTAATGTGTGTATAGTATATATATATTTTCCAATGCCTATCTGGGTTGACATTCGTCAATTGAGACATATTAGGGCAGATTTGTTAATCACTCTCTTAGGGGTACCATATTAGGTGAGCCAACATTGCTCCTACAGTAAGGACAGAGAATGAAAGAACATTCATGCCTTGTCCTGGATTGGAACCAGGATATTTCTGATGTAAGGCTAGTTCACTGACCTCTACACAGTCCGGTCGGTATGTGTGCACATAAGAATGGTTTAACTTTTGGTTTCAATTTAACAGCGATTTTGTTCATTAAAGTTCTTCAAAGCGTTTTTTCGAGCGTTCAAAAACTCGTAAAATGCTCCAAATGCAATAAAAATACATTTGGGAAGTCTTAATAATCAAGGCTGTTTATTTTTTCTTTCAAGAGCAGGCCTCTTAATTTATTTAAGCATATATTATGTAATGTAATGCCACAAATTCTCAAAAAGCATATGAAAAACCAATATGACATATATTTTGAGGTATTTTTAACAAAACTGTTTTCAAAATGTTTTTATTTACCTTTAGGAAACAGGAAAATAAGATAGTCATTTCTCTCTATATTAAAAAATCGTAAGACTTCAGCTCCACCCCTGTTTGGGTGTTCAACTTAAAATTACATTTTGTTTTGCTTCGTAAAAATTATACCACATCGAAATTTGAAATTACTAACGTGCGTGGAAAAGTGTACAAGAAATACGATGGAATAAAAAATTGCAACATTGGATAATTTGGTCGAGAATTACTAATTGTTTAACTTGCTGAAAAAGATGCCTTTCTGGCCGCTCTACAGGTCACAGGAATATAAATACAGAGTTGAAGAGCGAATACCATTTCCTATTTCAATTGTTATAAATATCTTCAACGAGTATTGCTACTTTGCATTTATTTCTTCTAATTGAGTCCCACAATCTATATTCCTTGGGTTAATTTTTGTACAGTTGCTTGTAAGTACAAATGATTGTTTGTCAAATGTAGGTAATCGTGTATTTAGTTACGATTGTTCCTAGGTAAAATGTTCTTACATAAAACTACAATAATTGTATATTTTGAAACCAAAATGTTTAGTATTTTAGTGGGAAATATTTACGGTTAATGAGAAGTAAACAATGATCACTGCGTAGCAATTACTGATGTTGGCGAGCGTCATACAGAGAAGAATATTAATATTAAAGCAGAAGAAAGTCAAATATTGTGTAATTAAATAGGAAGTAAGCAAAGATGAAACTAGGATCATACTTCTTCCTTTGGAATTTCAAATATCGAATATTTTTACTTCTAGTTTTCACAAAACAAAGTTCATAAGTAAGTTTACTTTGAAAAAGGGAATATTGATGTTATAATTCGGCCAACTTATGCTCCTCCTAATTCCCTTACGATTTTGTGGCTTGGTGTGGTGGTGTGATCCGTTATAACAATATGTCTTATCAAGTTTGAGAGTTATGGGTTAATATTTAGAGACAATATAGGCAAGATGTTCGCAATTTTTTATAGCTACGGAGCCCTAAATGATCGAGCATCTTATGGCGGAACTCCAAGTTAATAAATAAAATTAGCGGATATACTGACAAAAAATTATTTTGATAATCTGATATTTTGATTATTTTGATCTCCAAATTATTTTGATAATCTTTAGCTTGAAGACGGAATTTTATTCGTTTATTAATAATAATTAACAATAGACTAATAATAATTAATAATAGACTTAAAATTATAAGTAAGGCCCGGATTTTGATGACATTTGCATTTTTTCGCATTTTTTGCATTTTTGGACATTTTTTGTCTTTTAGAGCATTTTTTTAGATTTATAGGGCATTTTTCTTTAAATTTTGGGGCGTATTTTGCATTTTAATGCATTTTTTAAAGTTTTTTGTTAATTTTTTCCAATTTTTATTATTTTTTATCAATTTTCATTATTACACTGGCTTCCAAACAATGAAGAAAATCTATAGAATATTAACAGGTGAAGCAAAATCTTTTCAAATTGAAGAAGAATTGTCAGTAAGTGAGACCGTCTTTTTCAAGTACGCACCTATAACATCAGTAGACGTTGAAAGAAGCTTCTGCAGGAATGAAAATTTACTTTCAGACAAGAGACGCTCGTTTACATTTCAAATTATCAAAAAACATTTAATAATCCAATGTAATTCTGATATTTAGTAATATTATGAGATGGAAGTTGTTATATCCATTAAAGTTTCTATACAAAATAAAAATATTTTGGTGTCAATATATTTTCCTTTTTTTGTTATTTTAGGATATAAAACATATTTTTCAAACTTTAATGAACGTAGAACAAGTATTGCATTGCTTTATATTTTTTAAATGACTCATAATAATTTTAAAGAGCAAAACATTTTTTTAATTCAATATTTTTACTTTATTTAAGGCATTTTTTGCGCAATTTTTGCATTTTTAAGGGCATTTTTTGCCCTTTTTAAGGGCATTTTTTGCACTTTTTAAGGGCATTAGTTGAGATTTTTTAGGTCATCAAAATCCGGGCTCTAATTATAAGTTTTGTGCCAAATAGTTTAGTTTGTGACGAATTCGATAGTTGAATATAAGATCACGACGTTTTCACTATAAAGAGAAATATTGAAGTTTCAATGCGATATCACCTTATGTCACCCTAATTTGTTTTAATTTATTGCAATAAGACACGTGACTTAGTTTGAAAACAACAGGTTAATATTTACGGAAAATTTAGAACTTAATGTATCAGCAAAACATCAGAGAAAAACTTGAAAAATTCAGATGATACATTATAAAGGGAATAGTGGCGTTAAATTTAGATTTCATTTGTGCTGTCCTAATTCATTAATAATTTTGTGGTTTGGGGTGGTGCATAGGTATATTGTAATAATAAATGCGACCAAGTTTGAAAAATATGGGTGAATATTTAAGGACAGATATAGGCATTCATGTACATACGCATGAAGGCATTCACGTACATACGCAGAAAAAAATAATAAATCTTCGGAAATTTCTTTAGATTTCGATGTTTTCATCATGAAGGGGAATATTGAGGTTACAAATCGGATCCTTATTACGTCTACTATTTCGTCTATATTTTTGTGGCCTGATCTGGTGTTCTGGTATGTTACAAGAATATTTCTTACAAATTCGGAAAATAGGTAAGTATTTAGGGAAAATATAGGCCATTATGTATGAGGAAAAATATGAGGAAAACTTGAAAAATAGAAAGTTCAGATGCTACATTAAAAAGGGAATATTGACATTAAATTTTGGTTTCCTTTGGTTTCCCCCCTAAATCGTTCATAGATTTGCAGTTCTGCGTATTGTATAAGTTACAACAAATGTGGTAAAATAAATGTGGCCAAGTTTGAAGTCTATAGGTGGTAATTTTGGTGAACATTTAGGTTTTCATGTATTAGGGGGACCGGAAAGTAATGTCGTTTCGTCGCATTCAATATTCGTTAGTCTAAAAAAACAATAAATTTTTTTTCGATTCATTTTTGCTTTGATCCGGCATTGAAAGGTTGTTGCTAACGAGGGTGAATTATTGATTAAAAATAAAATCTTGATAACAAATATCAAATGCACCGAAACGACATTACTTTCCTGTCCCCCTAATATATGCAGTGAACGCAAGAAACCTCCAGAAATTTTTTTGAAGTCCCGTCACTTACACTACATATTCTTTTCTAATAGTCAAAGGGTAATTTTTCTGTGCTGTGATGAAGGTTTATATTGAATATCAGCTCAATTTTTACTAGATTCAAGAGGTACCCTGAAAACCGCTCCTAATGTACAGATGGGGGGAAAAATGAACCACATTGCAATGTGGTTCTTTTGCATGGTGGCAACTTCAATGCATGGTGGAAACTTTTGAACTAATGATTACCCATCTGGAAATGTGCGCAATTATTATTATCAATACCTGTTTTATTTTCGAGTGAAAATACGAAACGCATCCAGAATTTCATGCGCAAAAGCAAGTGGAAATTACTTCTTATTGCAGAAATTTCGTTGTTGAAGTGCAGAATTTGCTATAGGCCACAGAAGCCTTACAAGGTATTGTTTGACTATCCATACTGCCGTCCTCTAAGAGACATAATTCACCTGTTCTTGCAATGGAGACTTGACCTTGGGCATTCATGGTTCTTGCCCAAAAAGGACATTCATGGTTCTTGCACATAAAGAAATTCTCATTTTCTCATCATAAAGGCATCATTTGCTGACAAAAGTACAGCTAGTTGTGATACAATGACTCCATTCTGAGGCGATAGACTCTCATGTTAGTAAACTTCACTGCTTTAATGATATTATTTGAACCACGGTATAATTAGTTTAATAAATTCAGGGAGTTTATTATTAAATAGATGAAATATTGCAGAATCTTCTGCAGCTAAACACGCTGGTAATTATGTTTTGTTTTTATTATGGGGAGTTGGGAAACGTACTTCCTACTACAGTTAAATATCAAATGCGTGTAAAATATGCAATGGTTTAAATACATTTAACTGTCTATATAGTTCAATATATGGTTTACTTACTTTTTAATACTCTTACATTTTACTTGAAATTGTTAATGAGAAAAAACTTATATCATTTTGTAACAGCAGACACGAAGGCACGTTTATGTGATTTTAGGAAATTTTATTTTGCACAACTCCTAAATACATAATATGAAATTGATGTAAAACAAGTTCTTGACTTGGACAAGAAACTACATAGAGCTTAAGTGTTTCATAATTATTGCATAAATGGTTCAGGTGTACAATAGAATGTTCAGAGTTATATTAAAACCGTTAATAAATGAGATTTAAATCAGAGATGGCGAACCTTTTTCGATTTGTGTGCCAGTTAGGCTGCGATTTATTATATCTGGTTAATTAGTGTGCCACTTCAAAAATTTAAATTTTCAAAAATTAAATTCAGGAAATAAAAAAAATGCAGAAAAATCTCACATTTAATTAAAATAATAATAATAAAGTACTTATTGAGTGCATTTTCAACAAAATAAGTGTCGATTAGGTAGCAAGTACCAGGCAATTTTTTAATCTCCCCCTATGGCTAGTAGTTACCGTTAAATTTTCCTTATAATTATAATAATTTCTTTATAATTATAGTAAGTCATTTACTGAATTATTAAAATTTTACAAAATCAAAATTCAGGTCATGTAAAAATACAGGTCAGTAACCGAGGAGCAGTACTGAATGATTTTATCAGAAGAAAACTTCAACCAATGATTGAAAGTCCAGCTATGAAGGTCAGTTTTAAAGATTAACTATGAAGGTCAGCTACAAAGGGCCAGCTATAAAGGTCCAGTCATGAAAGTCAGAATTGATTAACTTTGAAATCAAGTGGAAGAACATTATTCGTTTAAATTTAAGAGCATGAAAGCTATGTTTAAGATTTAGCTATTTAACAATTGTCCATTTCTCTACGTAGCTGGGCGACTTCTTATGATTTTGATAGGTTGAGTTATTCTGCTAAACTCATTCAACACTACTCTTCAGGAATCACATTTTTAGAAATTTTATGCAATTTAGTTAATAATTGTTTCAGTTTTCCCATTCTTTTTAAATATTCCCATTCCTTTGGAATTTTTTTCTTCAAAATTTTAAGATCTGAGGTTCTCACCTTACTTCCAACTCTTAGCAGTTTATCTAATATTCTTTCACTAGTGAGATTATCTCGTGTTTTCCCTAACCAATGTATCAACACCCTTTCATTCGTGTTGTAACTTGCTTACAATTTACTACTGCATCTCTGATTTTTGCAACTTTGATTCTCCGTTTTGTTTCGACTCTGTAAAAGGTTCTCCATTATAGAATCAAAGTTATAGGTAATATCTCAAAATTTGTGAGTTTTTCAGGTTTCATTCACATAAAGCACGGAGTTAGCATTTTCATTCGTTTGAACTTTATCCAATTTGTTGCTTACAATAGCAGTACAACTTGAGTTTAGGGCTATCTATGCACCATGATTGCGAACCGTACTGATTTATTCTACTAATATCCATCACGCTGGTAATATCGTTGTTCGGATCATATCGTACAGTTCCTTCAAAAATGCCACCTCCAGGCTGAACACTTAAAGTAATTTGATATTCACTAAGAGGTGTAATTTTAGGACTTAAAATAATAAATTGATATCCATGTTCGCTAACATAACCTTTATCTTTTAGTAACTCTTCATTCGCTTGACTTTTGCGAGCGTCTTTTATTTCCTTCAGTTCCAACGTTTCGCAAACTTCCATATTATGGTGCAATAGTTCATTTATATGTTTGACAATTGCTTGTGAAGCAAGAACAGCAACAGGATCATCAATAGATACTTCAGTAAATGCGTTGCAAGGACAAAAGTGTTTTGATATGGAAGCTTCTTCACAAGTTCTGCTTTCTGGAATTTCATTCAGGAGGCTTAAGCCTAGCTCGTTCGTTTCTTCGACCATATAATTATTGAAGTTTAACAGGTGCTTCATGGTAGAATGAATATCAAATAAAGTGATTAATCTATGCTGATTAATGCTAAGGCTCTTTTCCGCATTAGGATATTGATTTAAGAACCATTTAGGAAAATATATGTACATAAATGGCATTCTTTCTTCGAATTTTCCTATGTAAGTTTCTCTTATTTCGCCGTATCTTATGCCATGGTCGCTAAATATAACTACAGCACTGTTGTTAAGGGCTCCTACTTTCTCAAGTTCTGTAAGTATTCTTTCTGCAGGGGCATCGGCATAGCTGGCGTAATTGGAAATATCGTGCGTAAGAACAGATACCATACAAAATGCAAAATAAGGCCTCTTGTCCATGGTTTTTACAAAATTCTTTAAGTAGTCATACATGAGATCAGTTTCTAATTCAGAGTTTAAGCAATGCGCCTCATAATGTTTGGCTTTCAGTCTCAACTCAGAATGATCAATCGCTAGCGCTAAAGGTCTGTAATAGTAATCTGTTGGAGGATCAAAGAAACCTCTCTTGAAATAGTTAAATATGCCGTTATATGGTGAATCATCTGCAAAAAAAGTTCTATAACCATGTTTGGCATAATCTTTCCATATCAGGCTTATATTATCAAAAAAGAAAGTATCTTTCATCGACTCATTGAAGTAGTATTCAACAAAATGGCCTGTTAGCATTGGTACCAAATTTGGAAATGTGTTATCTCCAACCTTCGTGTAACCTTTCATATCAAAAAACTTCATTTTTTCCAAAAACGTTTTTGTTTTTCGAAAATGTCGAATAAAATTCAGATTTGATACAGAGTCTATACCTAGAAGAATTACATTCAACGGTGAAGAAGACTTGACTTTAGATTTTTCTTCTTCAACCTTATCTTTGAGATTTACAAGTGGTAAAAACTGCTCGTGGACGTAGCTGTCACTAAAGTAACATTTAGCTAGTATATGCTCATCATCGAGAGGTGTATCAAATTGTAATGTTCCTCGACTTACGTAATAAAAATCATCTTCCCTTACTTGTTCAGGTTCATATTTTCGAAATATTGCCCAATAGAAGCAATCCATGTCACCAGGAGTAGCGTTGTAATATTTCTCTAGAGCAGAAACATTCAGATGAACAATTCCATTTGGTTCTGGAGTCATAAATAATGGTAGGTCTGAGCAAATCAAAGGATCATACAAATGAATTAATTCCATTACTGATGGATCCCATGGATCAAATCTTGGAATCTTGCAGCTTGGTGTATCAACTATAAAAGCAGGGTTCTTCACAGTATCAGATAAGTAATCATAGTCTGTCAAGGTCTGTTTGTCAGAAATTTCCTCCGACTTTCTTCCGAATTGGCTAACATCTTGCACTTCAAAACTCATTTGAGACAATAAATAACTTATGGGATTGCTTTTCTCGAAATAAATATTCCCTATGGCTGCACTAAAATCATTCTTAGATTCTATTACGGGATTAGTTAGTATGTGATTCAGAATTGTGCTGTGATGTGAATTAACTATGGTATTATATGTTAACGCATCGTTCTGTTGAGAGAAAGTCAGATCAGACGAAGCACTCAATTTTGTAGTTGGTTCTATAAGGTATTCCTGATCTAGTTTATTATTTATTCGCATAAGTTCATCTTTATTTGTATATTCTTTTTCTTTATTATGAGCTTCAAGAAATTTTAAATCGTTGATGAAAGCAATTGCTTTTTGATACTGGTAGTGCACTGAACTTGCTATCCAACTACAAAGACTTGTTTCGTCTTCATTGGAGGACTTATTTAAGTCTTTTAAACATTTTCTAATTAAATACCAGTGGAATAGAAGAAAACTTAATAAACAGAATAATAATATAAGCATAAAACGGTTCGGTAATGAAATAGGAGCCATTGGAACATGTTGGATCTATTCGCAGCAGTCATTGAAACCTGTGAAAGTAAAAAACAAATATAATCGACAATATTTTTTAAACATTTTCATTTATTCTGAAACATTTATTGTTTATCAACTAACTATTTAATTTGCATGAACTATTATTGCGTTTAAAATTTTTGTTATTTCAAAAACAATCTACCCATAGTAATTGGATATAATAATTCAAAAATAAAAATAAAGCACTACACCCTGAACAAGTATGTATGGTAGCTTATCTGTTGTAAAATCAGATTGATTTCAAACACTTGCCAGTTACAAGGAGAAAACAATTCTGGTAAAATTACCTTACTGTAGGGTAAGGATATTTCTGGTAAAAACAACATAATTCTGGTTAATGAAACCATATGCGGTACTCAAACCATTCATTTGGTAACTTTACCGTTCATATTGCAAATGGATTACCGGAAATTCTGGTTTTTAAAAATTGCTCTTCTTATTAGCTCACATATTTAATAAAAAAATAGAAAATTGAAAAATAAATGTAACTAATTAAAAGGGTATTTATGATATTCTTTATATAAATATATTCTTTATATAAATTATCTATATATATATTATAGATAAATATATCGAATTTTGCCCCATTTATCAATTTTTATCACATATTATCAAACCATATTTTATAGTTAATTTTACCAAAATCATTACCAAAGCTCATCGGTAAAAATGACCGAGCTGATATTCCCACAGAGCCAGAAACACGGTAAGTTTTCATAATCTGGTAGTTTTGAGCACACTTTTATTCTCACCTTATCATAAGATAAAATATTTTAGTGAATTAACAGGGTTAATGAACGGAGACGATGCTGTTGTTGCTGTCCTCGGCTATTAAGGCTAGGGGGGGCGATTGTTCTTGTTTTCCAGTGGCGCCATCTATGGGCAAGAATTTAACTTCTGTCATACCTACATGTCACACCCGTTAATAGGACTGACCCATTCATGCATCCATTCATTCGTCCGGAGATCGTTATTTTGACTTGAACCAGAGAACGATCAATCTCCAATTAAGTACCCCCAGAGGTATTGATTTGTTATGGGAACATGGAGAACTTCGTGACCCGACAGATTTAAGGTGCACCAATTACCATTACATAGAGAACGTGAAAATGTGGTGTAACTATCACTATAAATATTAAATACCAATTCAGTAGTATATAACACATGTTAACATGATTCCATCTAGAGGTACTTTTTGATGGATGAAGGTTGACATAGTCTTTAATAAAATTCCCTCCAATGGTGACCTGGACGTGATGAGAACCTGCCAATATTGATGGATGGTCCTCATTAAGCAGTTGATTTGCTTAATATATATGCTAAAAAAAAACCTGCAGACCAGGCTATCCCGACCAATAGAGACGATATAAATGAATACAAACTTTTAAGTGCCAAGTTAAAAAGTTTCTGAAATCTCATTTTTGTAATAAATAAATAAATAATTGCAATCATAACTGTACATAGTGGAAAATATACCACATCTTCAAAAAATGCAATTAGTTTTTTAGTGAACAAGACAGGTGGTGATCATTATGATCTACGTTTAGGTAGAAGCTTAAAAATATGTCGGGGTTAACAATTAATATTAACAATAAAAATATTTTTGTTAGAAATTATGCTGCTCAACTATTATTACTCAACTAATTCGCTATTATTACTCGCTACGAATATTCCTAAATTCCTGCATCCAATTCTCTACTTAATCTGCAACAGTCTAAATGCAAAGCTCTCTCATTAATTTTACAAATTTCGCAACTACTTGTAGACAATTTCTTAGATTAAATAATAGTTTATTGAAATTATTATTTTAATAAACATAAAAAAAGTTAAAATTTAGTTTGCAAAACATTTCTTATTGCAAACTTCTTAACCTGAAAATTTGGTTCAATACATTAATATTTAGTAATCACACTCAGTTGATTTTAAAAGCTCGAGGTTCGATTGTTTTCAAAATAACACTTTACATGTTTTTCTGATAAGTCATTTGATTCCATTTTGCTTTGCGCAAATGAATCCATTTTCTTAAACAAAAAATAACTTTAAATAAAAAAAAATTATAAACACGAAATTTTAAACAAAAACTTACTGAAACAAAATATTAAAAACACAAGACCAGCTAGAGCAATAACAGCTAGATTTGACAAAATTAACTTAGCAACTGTAGTTTAGAAACTTAAAAGAAGTATATATTTCCAGATATAGTTGGTACTTCTTGTTTGTATTTGGCATGTATGGTAGGCTGGTTCGCATTGGCATGTATATGGTTTATACAACTAGTAATGCATATGAACTAAAGATATCTATAGCTATGGCACTGAACTAAAGAGATGTATATCACTCGAAAGTCAGTAGAAAATCTTACTCTTTACAAAGATTGTCGTTATTTTTGTATAAAGCAAGACTAATTTAGAAAATCTCCAGAATTTTCCATAAAGCTTGATATTTTTAGGCTTATTGCAATCGACCTTTGTAGTACTGTAAAGTGGTTACTTATGCGCAAAAAATTGAATAAGTTTCAATCATTTTCGATTCAACCTATTATTTTAATATTAATTGTAATCAGGTCATAGCGACTGTGACGTAGGGCTTAAGGCAAATGCAAATACATTTTTATTACCTAATACATGTCGCTAATGCCAAATAGTAAGTCTGAAGAATCATTATTACGTCTTTGAATATGAATACAAAGGATAAAGTAAGATGAATATGACTTATTAGATATTCAAGAAGCAATCATTGCATTGCAATAACTATAAAACCTAAACTTTTACTGAATGTCTAATTATTTTTAAACAAACTATTTTTAACTCTGACATATCAATATGTGTGATTTGGTTTAATTTTAGTCATGTCAATTAGATAGGAAGGCAAAAGGCTAGTTAACTCATTAATTTTCCTGGGTTATCTGGAAATAGGAAAACTTAATGAAATTAAAAAATTTATGCTACCACGATAATTTACTACATTTTAATTACGGATTTCGCCATAAGTATTTTTCTTACTGTTTGCTGTTGATTATCTACAACTAAGCCATTAGGACATTGTTATGCCATGAGGACGTTGTATTAAATTCCGGATCAAAGTACCGGCACTTTGGGTAGATCAACGGTAAAATAAATTTTTACCGTAAAATATTATACTATAATTTTTACAGTAATATTTATTTAATTAAAGTGATACAGGGACTTTGCGGTCATTATTATTGCAAAAATTACGGTATGTTAGATTTTTAGTTGCGTAATATGCTCCGAAAAAATGGATTTCAAGGTAAAAAGTACGGATACCCTCAGTGCCGGTACTTTTTGAAATAAAATTAAAATAGCCTTTATCTAAAGATTTGTCAGTAAAAAATCAGAGCATTTTTTATTATCTCGCGTTTATTGTGCATTATATTATGCATCATATTATGCATCATATTATATTATGCATAAAAACTATGCATCAGAGAAAGTCTCAATACTTCGTGGTCATTATTATTGCAAAAATTACGATAATAGATTTTTGTAGATCATAGATTCTCGAATGTTAGATTTTTTTGTTAAGTAAAATGTTCCGAAAAAATAGATTTCAAGGTAAAAAGTACGGATACACTCAGTGCGGTACTTTTTGAAATAAATATTAAAATAGCTTTTATCTACAGAATTGTCAGTAAAAAATCTGAGCATTTTTGATAATCTCGCCTTTATTATGTATCATATTATACATCATATTATGCATCATACTATATTATGCATACAAATTATGCATCAGAGAAAATCTCAATATTAATTTAAATGCATTTCTTGTGCATTAACTATTAATGTACATGAAAATTCTTTTAATAATAAGAGTTCACTTACCGTCCATTATTTGAAGAATTTTAGAAATCAATATAAATTTTTTTTTTCAATTTTTCAAGATAAAATTGAATGCAGCTAAATTTAATTTTGTATGATTTTCTATAATGAAATAAAGTGATTTCAACACAGATAAAATGACCATACTTATGTACTTTTTCTAGCTGCAGAATGATAGATATGCTTCACGTTACAGACATGAAATAAAACTGATAAGCTATTTTCTATTCAGAAAAAGAAGGTTTGTTCATAAAAAGTAAATAGATGAATAACAATTACTATAACGAGCTTAGAGTTTAGGAAGCAGCCGCTCAATTTATGATCTTAGACTTCCACTTATTCCATTTGTGTGTTTTTGAATAGCAGAAAGTTTTATTAGGAGAGTTTTTAATACTTTTTATTAATCTATTAGTTTTTATTAGTAAATTGGTGCATTGGTAAATGGCATGACAATTCTGACTAAACACTTCATTTTTTTCATCGACGACTGCTTTCAAAAATTAAAATTATTTTTCAAAACAATTNTATTTTTGTATAAAGCAAGACTAATTTAGAAAATTTCCAGTATTTTTCATACAGCTTGATATTTTTAGGCTTATTGCAATCGACCTTTGTAGTACTGGTAAAGTGGTTACTTATGCGCAAAAAATTGAATAAGTCTCAAGCATTTTCGATTTAACCTATTATAGTTCTAATTGCAATCAGGCCATAGCGATTGTGACGTAAGGCTTAAGGCAAATGCAAATACATTTTTCTCACCTAATACATGTCACTAATGCCAAATAGTAAGTCTGAAGAACCATTATTACGTCATTGAATATGAATACAAAGGATAAAGTACGATGAATATGACTTATTAGATATTCAAGAAGAAATCTTTGCATCGCAATAACTGTAAATCCTAAACTTTTATTGAATGTCTAATTATTTTTAAACAAACTATTTTTAACTCTGAAATATCAATATGTGTGATTTGGTTTAATTTTAGTCATGTTAATGAGATAGAAAGGCAAATGGCTAGTATACTCGTAAATTTTCCTGGGTTATCTTGAAATAGGAAAACTTAATAAAATTAAAAAATTTATGCTACCGCGATAATTTACTAAATTTTAATTACGGATTTCGCCATAAGTGTTTGTTCTTATTGTTTGCTGCTGATTATCTACATCTAAGCCATTAGGACATTGTTATGCCATGAGGACGTTGTATTAAATTCCAGATCAAAGTACCGACACTTTGGATAGATTAAAGGTAAAAAAAAAATTTACCGTAAAATATTATACTATAATTTTTACAGCAATATTTATTTAATTAAAGTGATACAGTGACTTTGCGGTTATTATTGTTGCAAAACTTACGGTATGCTAGATTTTTAGTTACATAACATGCTCCGAAAAAATGGATTTCAATGTAAAAAGTACGGACTCCCTCAGTGCCGGTACTTTTTGAAATAAAAATTAAATAGCTTTTATCTGAAGATTTGTCAGTAAAAAATCTGAATATTTTTTATTACCTCACGTTTATTATACATTATATTATACATCACATTATGCATTATATTATATTATGCATCAGAGAAAACCTCAAATCTTGTGGTCATTATTATAGCATGTTCGATGTTTTTTGTTTAGTAACATGTTCCGAAATTTTTTTTTTCAAGGTAAAATGAACGGGCACCCTCAGTGCCGGTACTTTTTGAAATAAATATTAAAATAGCTTTTATCTACAGAATTGTCAGTAAAAATCTCGCCTTTATTATGCATCAAAAAATACATCATATTATGCATCATACTACATTATGCATACAAATTATGCATTAGAGAAAATCTCAATGCTAATTTAAATGCATTTCTTGTGCATTAACTACTAATGTACATAAGAATTTTTTTAATAATAAGAGTTCACTTACCGTCCATTATTTGAAGAATTTAAGAAATCTATATAAATTTTTTTTCTTCAATTTTTCAAGATAAAATTAAATGCAGCTAAACCGTAAATAAATTTAATTTTGTACGATTTTCCATAATCAAATAAAGTGATTTCAACACAGATGAAATGACCATACTCAGATACTTTTTCTAGCTGCAGAATTATAGAAATGCTTCACGTTACAGGCATGAAATAAAAGTGATGAGCTATTTTCTATTCAGAAAAAGAAGGTTTGTTCATAAAAAGTAAATAGATGAATAACAATTACTATAACGAGCTTAGAGTTTAGGAAGCAGTCGCTCAATTTATGATCTTAGACTTCCACTTATTCCATTTGTGTGTTTTTGAATAGCAGAAAGTTTTATTAGGAGAGTTTTTAATACTTTTTATTAATCTATTAGTTTTTATTAGTAAATTGGTGCATTGGTAAATGGCATGACAATTCTGACTAAACACTTCATTTTTTTCATCGACGACTGCTTTCAAAAATTAAAATTATTTTTCAAAACAATTCATTAATTAAAAGAAGTAATTTAAAAGATATTGCAAAATGTGAGGGAGTGATTAAGTGCTATTTTATGCAGTTAAACAACGGAAAAAGAGCACAAGTTATGTAATCAAAATAGATATGATGTAGTTTCAGTTTTAGAATGAAGAAATTTCTTGAATCTTGGAGCTTTTAATGAGAGAAGGAAACACGGAGATATAAAAGAAAATTACAAACAAGTTACTAGAGAAATATGATTGATTAATAGATTAGAGAAAATAAAGTCGAACAAGATAATAAAAAAGAAAGGGAATAAAAAAAAGAAGTTTGATGGGAAAATGATGAGAACTGCTGTTGTTACGAGATTTGAAAGTCAAATTTCTAAAAGAATGTTTTTTTTTACACATCTTTTGATATCTATTTTCTTATAAATTCTACATCTTGCAACATCTAAAGTCATCACCCTACCTCAACTATTCACTTTTTTAGCGCTCCTCTTCAGTTAAATTATCTAGTTCGACTCTGTTTCTTGTACCCTATTAGTCAGAGTTTTCTTCGCCGTTTTTGTTTGTAATTTTCTTCGATATTCCCTTTTTATTTTGTGTTTTGACTCGGGAAAAAGTACTTCATTATGGAACAGAGACTACAGTAATTTATTCGACGAACTGTTAGATTCTCAGTAAAATCTTAATTATCAGTCTATACTGTACAGTTTTATTGTTTTTACGGAACTGAAACCGGTTTGCACTTGTTTTCATTCGGGTAATAGTTGGTTAAATGATGTGATATATAATATAAATTCGAAGTATGGATAAAGGAGGCGATGTATTATATAAATATAGAATATTTATTACATCAGGTATTATATTATTATATTGTAATAATTAGATCAAATTATTTGACTCACTGCAGTTTTTTAATAATTACTTGCTTTGCACGAATTTACATGCAGCACTGTTATATTTAAACATACATGTAATGGGCTTTTATGCAGGAGATTTTTTTATATACTTCCTATTTGTATTTATTTTTAACGCACTGCATTACAATGTTAACCAATTGATATACGAACGTGAGCAAGCGCAAACCTGTTTCTGTTACGGAAAAACAATAAAGCTGTGTAGTATCACCTGGTAATTAAGATTTTACGTAGAACCTTATGGTGCGCCTAATAATTCAGTATAGTATGCCTATTTAGGCGACACTATTTGTGCTCTTTTAAAATTATTAAACTGTATGTAATACATCCTTAATGAAGTAAATTTCTCTTTACTTTGATAATTAAATGATGTCTTAGTGAAGAGAAGAATAGCACCAGAAAAATAAGTAGCATACCTGTATTAATTGTAGTCAAGAAAATACAAAATAGAACATATTATAATGAAAATAAATGTGATTGTAAGAGCCCACTTAAAAAGTAAGTTTAAGTAATTTAATGTAAAAATCAGATTGCTAAATCAAATTGATTTTTTCTAGTATATTTAATTTGGGCAATTCCATATATAACGGAATGACATTTTGACTTGCAAAATAGCAATTAATTGAAGTTTCTATGTATCTAATTTCAAATAAAAAAAAAATTCTCATGTACGATCTCGTATATCATTATTATTGACATAATGCGCTTCATAAACTAAAAAAGCAGGATTTTCTATCTTTTTTACTTTTAATTTTACAAACTTTTTATTTGCGTGACGGAATGACATTTTGGCAACCAAGCTTTTGGCATGCCGCTTAGAACTCTTAGTTTCTGCGAATTTTGCAGCTATTATTTCTCTGAACTATTTTATACTTTTAGTATAATGTGTAAGCAATGTAAAATGTGAATTTGGAAAATTAACCTCAGGTTGGCTAGCAGTTATTAACATCTATTTGCTGTGACGGAATGACCGTGACGGAATGACAAAAAGTTTAGTAGAAGAAAGCCTTCATTTAAAAAATGTTTTATTAATATGTAAATGATAAACAGAATGTAACAGATAAACAGGATTAATATTTATGTAAGAATTAGTAAAAATTTCAACAGTTTGAAAATTAGGTTGTCTCTGAAGAGGTTTTATATCTAACTTGCCAATGTCACATCTTATCTTCGTTCTCAGGAAATTTATGCATTATTAAGACATGTGACGGAATGACGCAAAAGAAGTTACTTTTATTTTTTATATTAAACTTAAAATGTTTAAATTTTGTTCTGTATGCATATTTTTATCAAAATATTTCAAAAGAAAGATGCAATTCTTTTATTTCATAAGTATTTTTCAAGAAAACAATTTGAGCACAAATATGAACAATTCACTTGTCAGCCATGTGATTACTTTAGAATACTGCCGGATTCAAAAAATTTAAAATTATCAAAAATAAAATTGCAATATGTAGACTTTGGCTATTTTTGAACATATTTTTAAAATTAAAATATGCAATTCATAAAAAAAAATTTCACTTAAAAGTTGACACTTCCGTGGAATTGCCCATTTACTATTTTGTTGATTCATTCTCAAAAATTACAATTTAGTTATTATTGAAATTTTTTTTAAATTTATATCTATGGAAATTGGAGAACTCATTATAAATTTTTACTTATTTTCTTTAACCTAAAGTTAATATGTGCTCTGTTTCATAGGAGAATAGATAATATTAGTAAAAAAATCTGCAGACTAGAAAAATATGTATATTATTAGTATAAGAACAGAATAAGGGACAGTACTAGATAATCTAAAAAATATACTATGTATAATAATAGTATGAAAATAGCGTAAGGAATAGTGATAGATAATAAGTAAAATACAGTAAATGTAAATTTTGGGATTAATTCTAATGATTCATGGAAACGATTTAGGGATGGTTCTATAACTGTATAGTCTCACACTAATTTGTTTTTCTAATGAATCTATTTTATGAACCCTTTTTAAATGCTAGTCTGTTTGGAATTTTGTGAATCACAGAACGTTTCAAGCATTCAGATGATTATATAATATTATTTTCTTATTTTCAAGACAGATTCAAATATATTTTTATACGTTGTCAAGAGAAAAAACGAATATTTAATTTACTTGTTTATTTATTTTCAATTTTATTAAAGGTAGCTCGCATCAAGCATTCGGTTTATAATATACACTTTTTTTTTAATTTTCAAATCAAAATTGGAAAGTATTTGAATAAGTTTCTAACAAAAAATAAGTTATTTTTTTGAAATTGTTGATTAATTTTAAATTTTGGGATATGCAAAGCGTATTAAAAGTTTGATTAAAAATTTAACCATTTTTTTTACTTTCAAGTCATAATTAAAAATTAATTTTCAAAGTGTACTAAGAAAAGAAGTAAAAATTTCGTGTACTTGTTCTTTTTTTTAAGCGATAGCATGCTGAAAAAATATGAAATTAATAATATGTATTTTTTTTTCTAAAAGCAATATAATTACAAAAATTAAAATTTCAGATTCGGTTCAACCAATTCAAATTTATTATTTTAGAGCTAAAAATTTAAAATGAAAAAATTAATGTTCTAAAATTTAACAACTACTCAACTGGAAAACCAAAGAGCTCGGTAATTTTTACCAAAGTGTTTTGGTAATAATTTTGGCAAAATTCATTATAGAATGTTATGGATAAAAGTTGGTAAAAGTGGTAATTTTATCATGATACTTAAGGGCATAGAAGAAAAACCATTTATTCGGTTAAATATACTTTTTAGCTTTGTATTTTTTCACTAAATGTGCGGTAATAAGAACTATGATTTTGAAAATCAGAATTTCACCATATATGTAAAAATGAAATCAGAACTTTTACCATATATGTAAAAAATTTACCAAATGAATGGTTTAAATATGGTATATTTTAGTCTTAAGTTATGTTTTTTTTACTATAAATGTCATTGTCATTATGATACAGTACGGTAATTTTACTAGAATTTTTTTTCCGGGTACGTATCTAGCTTTCGGTCGATAACGTCAACTTTCTTTTTTTTAAGGTTAAAATCAAAGCTATTTAAATACGTTTTGTCGAGAAGAAAAGTGTAATTTTGTTTCAATTCTCATTAATTTTAAATTTTAAGTACATTAATTTTAAATTTTGGAACATTACACGTTAAAAGCGCCTCACTGATAACGTAACATTTTCGTTTCAAAATTTAGTAAGATTCAAAAATAATTTTATACTTTGTCCAGAAAAATACATTATGAACTACAGTTACAAAAATATGTTCAGTTTTGCGTTTCACACAATCTTCTGCATTTTGTATTATGGTTCAACATTTTTGTGGTTTTTCAAATTAAATATATTTCAGGTAAGATTGCGTTTCACATTATCTTTTGTATTTTGTATTATGGTTTAACATTTTTGAGGTTTTTCAAATTAAATATATTTCAGGCAAGATTGCGTTTCACATTATCTTTTGTATTTTGTATTATGGTTTAACATTTTTGAGGTTTTTCAAATTAAATATATTTCAGGCATGATTGCGTTTCATATTATCTTTTGTATTTTGTATTATGGTTTAACATTTTTGAGGTTTTTCAAATTAAATATATTTCAGGCAAGATTGCGTTTCACATTATCTTTTGTATTTTGTATTATGGTTTAACATTTTTGAGGTTTTTCAAATTAAATATATTTCAGGCATGATTGCGTTTCATATAATCTTTTGCATTTTGTATTATGGTTCAAAATTTTTGAGGTTTTTCAAATTAAATATATTTCAGGCAAGATTTCGTTTCTCATAATCTTTTGCATTTTGTATTATGGTTCAAAATTTTTGAGGTTTTTCAAATTAAATATCTTTTAGGCAAGATTTAATTTCCTT